TAACACTGAGGAGACCCTTACAGGTTACAGACCACACCCATTAACACGTGAGGAGACCCTTACAGGTAACAGACCACACCCATTAACACCCGTGGAGACCCTTACAGGTAACAGACCACACCCATTAACACCCGAGGAGACCCTTACAGGTAACAGACCACACCCATTAACACCGAGGAGACCCTTACAGGTAACAGACCACACCCATTAACACCCGAGGAGACCCTTACAGGTAACAGACCACACCCATTAACACCTGAGGAGACCCTTACAGGTTACAGACCACACCCATTAACACGTGAGGAGACCCTTACAGGTAACAGACCACACCCATTAACACTGAGGAGACCCTTACAGGTTACAGACCACACCCATTAACCTTAGGAGACCCTTACAGGTTACAGACCACACCCATTAACACCTGAGGAGACCCTTACAGGTTACAGACCACACCCATTAACCTTAGGAGACCCTTACAGGTAACAGACCATACCCATTAACACCTGAGGAGACCCTTACAGGTTACAGACCACACCCATTAACACCTGAGGAGACCCTTACAGGTTACAGACCACACCCATTAACACCTGAGGAGACCCTTACAGGTTACAGACCACACCCATTAACACCTGAGGAGACCCTTACAGGTTACAGACCACACCCATTAACAACTGAGGAGACCCTTACAGGTAACAGACCACACCCATTAACCCTGAGGAGACCCTTACAGGTTACAGACCACACCCATTAACACCTGAGGAGACCCTTACAGTTACAGACCACACCCATTAACCCTGAGGAGACCCTTACAGGTTACAGACCACACCCATTAACACTTGAGGAGACCCTTACAGGTTACAGACCACACCCATTAACCCTGAGGAGACCCTTACAGGTTACAGACCACACCCATTAACACCTGAGGAGACCCTTACAGGTTACAGACCACACCCATTAACACTGAGGAGACCCTTACAGGTAACAGACCACACCCATTAACACCCGAGGAGACCCTTACAGGTAACAGACCACACCCATTAACCTTAGGAGACCCTTACAGGTTACAGACCACACCCATTAACACTGAGGAGACCCTTACAGGTAACAGACCACACCCATTAACACCTGAGGAGACCCTTACAGGTAACAGACCACACCCATTAACACGTGAGGAGACCCTTACAGGTTACAGACCACACCCATTAACACCTGAGGAGACCCTTACAGGTTACAGACCACACCCATTAACACTGAGGAGACCCTTACAGGTAACAGACCACACCCATTAACACCTGAGGAGACCCTTACAGTTACAGACCACACCCATTAACACTGAGGAGACCCTTACAGGTAACAGACCACACCCATTAACACGTGAGGAGACCCTTACAGGTAACAGACCACACCCATTAACACCTGAGGAGACCCTTACAGGTACAGACCACACCCATTAACACTGAGGAGACCCTTACAGGTTACAGACCACACCCATTAACACGTGAGGAGACCCTTACAGGTTACAGACCACACCCATTAACACTGAGGAGACCCTTACAGGTAACAGACCACACCCATTAACCATTGAGGAGACCTTACAGGTTACAGACCACACCCATTAACAGTGAGGAGACCCTTACAGGTTACAGACCACACCATTAACACTGAGGAGACCCTTACAGGTAACAGACCACACCCATTAACACTTGAGGAGACCCTTACAGGTAACAGACCACACCCATTAACACTGGAGACCCTTACAGGTTAACAGACCACACCCATTAACACTGAGAGCCTTACAGGTTACAGACCACACCCATTAACACTGAGGAGACCTTACAGGTAACAGACCACACCCATTAACACTGAGGAGACCCTTACAGGTTACAGACCACACCCATTAACACCCGAGGAGACCCTTACAGGTAACAGACCACACCCATTAACCTTAGGAGACCCTTACAGGTAACAGACCACACCCATTAACACTGAGGAGACCCTTACAGGTAACAGACCACACCCATTAACCTGAGGAGACCCTTACAGGTAACAGACCACACCCATTAACACTGAGGAGACCTTACAGGTACAGACCACACCCATTAACACGTGAGGAGACCCTTACAGGTTACAGACCACACCCATTAAGACTGAGGAGACCCTTACAGGTTACAGACTCCTCCTTCAATAAAGTAATGAAACTCACCTGGATATCCCTCTAAACTATTCCTAACGTCTTCCACTGATGGATAAAGCTGCAAAACACACACAGGTGAAAGTGAACGGTCTTTGAACGCCTCATTTCGTCTTTTTCACTGCGTTTGAACATAAGCTTCGGTCAGAGGAACGTACCAGGTGCACGGGGGTGTCGGGCGTAGAGACGACTTCCCCAGCGTGGTCATGGTGCGCTGGAACTCTCCTGCCAACCATTTGGTCTTATCCAGCCCATGGAGCCGATGCTGGAGAACTGTCCAATCACAGGCCAGCTCTCCTCGTTGGCAACAGGATGTGCGTGATCATACAGCAGCTGATGACGAAGAGGACGAGAGAGGAGAAGATGATTATCATTTTATCAGTCATCGTGTTTGAAAATGTAAGAGTCAGTAAATTAGATAAATGAACCAAATAACTGTTATGTGTTTTATTTTGAAATTGATCGGATGCTCTGTGTGTTTCTGTGATTGACTTCCTGCCCGGGAGCCAGGGATGAGCCGCGCAATTCACGTGTGACAGTGGTAATGAAGGACAAACACAACGAGCCATGTTTCAACATCCTGTTAGCGTGTATCGCCATGGACGACCTTGAAGGTGCTGACCTTCCCCGGTATCATCTGAGAAGAGGAGGGGCTGCCGTTTGTTTACTGTGTCGCATTCTTCTTCTACTTCGGATTTATGGCAGGCTACACCGCGTCGTGCTGCTATGATGCTCGCCATTTTGCGTCATCGGAGGCTGTTGTGGTTAGCGGGGTGAAACTACATCGCTTGTGAGAAAGCTGTAGCTTTCCTGCTTAACTATACTGGATCTTATTGTTGTTATTGTGAACTCGCTACAGGTGATCGGTAAGAACCACACGTCTTTAATTCCACTTTGTTTATTCGTTACCACCACAACCGCATAAATCCTGTTCTCTGATGAATCAGTGGTTCTGCATAAAGTATACACAAAACAGGTAAGTATAAACGGACTTCTTCACTAACAGATACAGTTCACAGCAAAGACATTGTATGACAGGCTTCTGAGCATATCATATCAAAGCATATCAAATAGCTTATTCATTTACATCAGTAAGGCAGCACTGCCCTCTACTGGACATAATTCACAGTGACTACCTATCTTAATGCCATGTGTGCATGTCCTGCTAATTAGCCAACAGATATGGCTACAATGCCACCATTCAGCATATCTCCTTATCAAAAACGTCACCTAATAATCAGAACACATGTATCCTCATCTTTGACAAAGATTATACAGTTAGCTGCTAATATATAACCCAGTGTTTCCTGGGTTGGGCGGGCCGCCCCCCCAATATAATGGTAGGGAAACACTGTAACAAGTGAGCCAAAACAAACCTGTGCTCCATTAGCTTAACAGGCAAAATATATATAAAGTATTGACAAATACTCTAACTATGGAGGACTAAAAGTGCCAAACTGAAATAAATAATAATAAAATTATTTCATGATGCACTGCTGGAGCAGGAAACATGAAATAATTAAATAAATAGTGGAATAAATAGGTGTGTTTTTACATAGAACGAATGAGCATTTTAAATAACTATTTAAACATTTATTTATATATTACCAATATTAAAAATTGATGACACATTTAATGATTTAATTAATTAGATATTTATATATTCCATTTTGGCACTTTTAGTCCTCCATACTAGCAAAGATAAAACATATATTCTCAACCCTTTAACTCACTTGCGCTAGACGCACTTCACATCAGGTGACAATTGGGAAGGATTAACATCCAGGAGAACTTCGCGACGTGTTGAGACGTGTTGAGCGTCTGGCCACAGTCAGGGCAAAAGTGAAAGTGAAAGCTAAAGAGGAAAAACACTGGCAAAGACGTCCACCAGAGGGCGCCTTTTTCACATCGCTAGTTCCTCATGTTTTCAACCCGCCCATGGGGTGGGGGGGGGGACCCACTGAAGCTACAGACTTATCACAGATCAGTGGGCGGACCTCACTCCCAGATACAAAATTAACGTCCACCATCTTGCTTAGAAACTATGCTAACAGTCTCTATGGAGAAAGATGATAATGGAGGAAAAAGTTTGTTTCAACTGAGATGGATGAAGGGGGTGTTGAAGTATTGTGCTAGAATTTCCAAGATGCCAAATAGAGATGCTGTAAATAGAGGACCTTAGTGGGAGTGGCCTGTGGTGCTGTGCATTCCAGGATTTGCTGTCTTTCATCCACATGAGCCAAAAAGACACTTTCTGTCTTTTCTCAGCCAAGAAGGCTCCAACATCGGGGCACTAGTGGCGCAGTGGTTATGCGTGGGATGCATATCAAACCAAACCGAACTGAAACAGACCGCCAGGTGGAAACGAGGCCTCACAGCGTCTGTTGCTAACGTCTTGGCGGCGGTAACCACAGCACGTACCTTCCTCAGCCTCAGGTGACCCCAACGCTCCATGTCTGAACCCACATATCTCCCTGGAGTCGAGCCGACCAGATAGACTCTGAGAACAGAAGACATGATGATGATGATGAGGTAACCGTGAACCCGCCGTCATACTGAAGTCCACGATACAGGTAGGCGCCTCGTGGTCACCTGGTCTCTGACAGGTCGTGCTCTTTGATGAGTTGGATCCACTCCTCGAGTTCAGGTGCTCGGTACGACGCCAGGTACTCCAACAGGTCCCTCTTAAAGAAGGTCGGGGACTCACCTGCACTCTCACTGCTACCCTCTGGTAACCGTGGAAACAGCGGGCTTATCCACATCCTGGTTAGGAGGCAAAATATTCAAAAGGGTGAATGGATAAAAAACTACAACCACTACTCACCCTCAGGTTAAGGACTCACCCTCAGGTTAAGGACTCACCCTCGTGCGTTTGGGACTCACCCTCGTGTGTTTCAGACTTACCCTCAGGTTAAGGACACACCATCAGGTTAAGGACTCACCCTAGTGTGTTTCAGACTCAACCTCAGGTTAAGGACTTACCCTTGTGTGTTTCAGACTCACCCTCAGGTTAAGGACTTACCCTTGTGTGTTTTAGACTCACCCTCAGGTTAAGGACTCACCCTCAGGTTAAGGACTCACCCTCATGTGATTGAGACTCACCCTCAGGTTAAGGACTCACCCTCGTGTGATTGAGACTCACCCTCAGGTTAAGGACTCACCCTCGTGTGATTGAGACTCACCCTCAGATTAAGGACTCACCCTCGTGGGTTTCAGACTCACCCTCGTGTGTTTCAGACTCACCCTCGTGTGATTGAGACTCACCCTCGTGTGTTTCAGACTCACCCTCGTGTGTTTTAGACTCACCCTCGGGTGTTTAGGACTCACCCTCAGGTTAAGGACTCACCCTCGTGTGTTTGAGACTCACCCTCTTGTGTTTGAGAGTCACCCTCAGTTTAAGGACTCACCCTCATGTGATTGAGACTCACCCTCAGGTTAAGGACTCACCCTTGAGTGATTGAGACTCACCCTCAGGTTAAGGACTCACCCTCGTGTGTTTTAGACTCACCCTCAGGTTAAGGACTCACCCTCGTGTGTTTGAGACTCACCCTCAGGTTAAGGACTCACCCTCATGTGATTGAGACTCACCCTCAGGTTAAGGACTCACCCTCGTGTGATTGAGACTCACCCTCAGGTTAAGGACTCACCCTCATGTGTTTCAGACTCACCCTCGTGTGATTGAGACTCACCCTCGTGTGTTTCAGACTCACCCTCGTGTGATTGAGACTCACCCTCGTGTGATTGAGACTCACCCTCGTGTGTTTCAGACTCACCCTCGTGTGTTTCAGACTCACCCTTGTGTGTTTCAGACTCACCCTCGTGTGATTGAGACTCACCCTTGTGTGTTTCAGACTCACCCTCAGGTTAAGGACTCACCCTTGAGTGTTTTAGACTCACCCTCAGGTTAAGGACTCACCCTTGTGTGTTTAGGACTCACCCTCAAGTTAAGGACTCACCCTCGTGTGTTTTAGACTCACCCTCATGTGTTTGAGACTCACCCTCGTGTGTTTCAGACTCACCCTCGTGTGTTTCAGACTCACCCTCGTGTGTTTCAGACTCACCCTCGTGTGATTGAGACTCACCCTTGTGTGTTTCAGACTCACCCTCAGGTTAAGGACTCACCCTTGTGTGTTTTAGACTCACCCTCGTGTGTTTGAGACTCACCCTCAGGTTAAGGACTCACCCTCGTGTGTTTGAGACTCACCCTCAGGTTAAGGACTCACCCTTGAGTGTTTTAGACTCACCCTTGTGTGTTTGAGACTCACCCTCAGGTTAAGGACTCACCCTTGTGTGTTTAAGACTCACCCTCGTGTGTTTTAGACTCACCCTCAGGTTAAGGACTCACCCTCAAGTGTTTTAGACTCACCCTCTGGTTAAGGACTCACCCTCTGGTGTTTTAGACTCACCCTTGAGTGTTTTAGACTCACCCTCAGATTAAGGACTCACCCTCGTGTGTTTAGGACTCACCCTCGTGTGTTTGAGACTCACCCTCAGGTTAAGGACTCACCCTCGTGTGTTTTAGACTCACCCTCAGGTTAAGGACTCACCCTCGTGTGTTTCAGACTCACCCTCAAGTGTTTTAGACTCACCCTCAGGTTAAGGACTCACCCTTGTGTGTTTAGGACTCACCCTCAGGTTAAGGACTCAGCCTGGTGTGTTTCAGACTCACCCTCGTGTGATTGAGACACACCCTCGTGTGTTTCAGACACACCCTCGTGTGTTTCAGACTCACCCTCAGGTTAAGGACCCTCAGGTTAAGGACTCACCCTTGTGTGTTTTAGACTCAACCTCATGTGTTTGAGACTCACCCTCAGGTTAAGGACTCACCCTTGTGTGTTTTAGACTCACCCTCGTGTGTTTTAGACTCACCCTCGTGTGTTTGAGACTCACCCTCGTGTGTTTGAGACTCACCCTCAGGTTAAGGACTCACCCTCATGTGATTGAGACTCACCCTCAGATTAAGTACTCATCCTCGTGTGTTTCAGACTCGCCCTTGTGTGTTTCAGACTCACCCTCGTGTGTTTCAGACTCCCCTCGTGTGTTTCAGACTCACCCTCAGGTTAAGGACTCACCCTCGTGTGTTTGAGACTCACCCTCAGGTTAAGGACTCACCCTCATGAGATTCAGACTCACCCTCAGGTTAAGGACTCACCCTCGTGTGTTTGAGACTCACCCTCGTGTCTTTGAGACTCACCCTCTGGTTAAGGACTCACCCTCGTGTGTTTCAGACTCACCCTCGTGTGATTGAGACTCACCCTCAGGTTAAGGACTCACCCTCGTGTGATTGAGACTCACCCTCAGGTTAAGGACTCACCCTCATGTGATTGAGACTCACCCTCAGGTTAAGGACTCACCCTTGTGTGATTGAGACTCACCCTCAGATTAAGGACTCACCCTCATGTGTTTCAGACTCACCCTCGTGTGATTGAGACTCACCCTCAGGTTAAGGACTCACCCTCATGTGATTGAGACTCACCCTCAGGTTAAGGACTCACCCTCATGTGATTGAGACTCACCCTCAGGTTAAGGACTCACCCTTGTGTGATTAAGACTCACCCTCGTGTG